ACTCGTGCTGCTTCCTGGCTGGGACAGACCGTGTGGCCACCTCCAAGCACCAGCTTCTCAGGGATCCCACAGCTCCAGGCTCTGCCCATCCGCTCTGCTGCAAGCGTTGAGGCTCCAGCAGAACCCCCCAAGGCCAAGGGCCTTTGGGGCACTTTCCCCTCCCCACGGCACACCTGGGCAAGTGTTGCTGAGCACAAGGTCCCTTTGTCCCCTCTAACCCAATACACTGTGGATACCGGGAACCAAAAAAACCTCCTGAGTCTCTGTGCATGCTAAGCGGGGTTTATTATTGCCTGCTGGGGTAAGAGGATACGAGAGGTCTTTCCCACAGGATGAGGTATTTCCATCAGACAGGGTTCCTAGGATCAGTTCTCTGCAGTCTTCTGGCAGCTGCCCCACAGAGGAGCCTCCCTATTCTGCACACTCTGGAGATGATCTTCAGATGTGGAGAAGCCTGAGGTCTCTGGACAGCCATTAGGATTTTCTGGGTTTGAATTGCCAGGCTTTTGATGGCAGCGCTGTCATGAGTCATGTCTTCAATAACTGGAACAAAAGGGAATGAGGCAAGGTCAGTGCCCAGATCTCTGGTGACCCAAGAAGCCCCTCCTGCCTGGGCCTTCCCAGCCAGCTCTTGCTATGACCAGGAGGAGCAGGGCCCAAGGGGATCAGCTAGAAGGTGCTGGCCACCAATACCCCTCATGGCCCTGAAATCTCTCTCTGTTCTGCCCAAGCCATTCCTCATCCATGCAGGGAGCAGAGCCCTCCACAGTCAGGGCAGGATTGCAGCTCCCTGCCCAGGCTCTGTGCTCCTCCACCAGTCCCTGCTGCTCTCACTCACCATCAATGACGATCTGCAGCTCAACCTGCTGTCCCCTCAGGTACCTCCCGGCCATCCCTGGGAACACAGATGCTGTCAGGGCCCCAGCGGTGTCACAGCTCCCCCCCAGTGGCACTGCCAGCCTGGCCACACGCCCTCCTGCCCTGGCAGGGCTGAGCCCGGGCCCTTCCTGCCTGTGGACGGCCCAGGGCTGGGCTGGCACAGGGCGGCAGCACCGCCAGGGCACTCGGGGCTCCCCAGCACAGCCCTGGCCGCATCTGCTGCCGCTGCAGCAGCCGGGGCTGGGGCCGAGCTGCAGCGGGGCAGGCAGGGAACTTATGGCTCACCCATGAAGGTGACGGCTGCCTCTCGCAGGGGCTGCTGTGGGCTCCACAGGTACGGCAGGGCCTGGTGCATGTACTTGGCCACTTGGCTCTGGTCCTTCTTCAGCTGCAGAGAGCAGCAGGGCACAGAGGGAATGGTTGGCTGGGGCTGTCACAGCCCGAGAGTGGAGAAGGAGATGAGCGACACGAGGGTTCGATAAATTATTTGGTGGTTTATTAATCCCAGGGAAAAATGATGGGGGCTCCCGGGATGTTGCGACACCCTCTGGGGACAAAATGTCGCTCCCGCCCGAGGGGAGAAGGGGGGTTTATATAGGTTTGGGGAAGAAGGGACTAGAACAAAGGGAGGAGTTACATGAATTGAGGAGGATCAAAGAAGAGAGGTCTTCCACCGATGGAAGGAATTATATGACAAATACTAAAAGGACTTTCAAAAGGACTTTTTATTCTTCACACTGGCTATGGACTTTAAGTGCCTAAACAGTGATGGATAGTTTAGTAATGTTAAACATGTTTAATGGTTGCTATAGAAGTTATGATTTTATTATATTAAAATAGGTTTTGTTCCCGGTTTTCATTCCCCTCATAAAATCCAGTTTTCCTATTGGTTAAAAACCCTCAGCTAGGATTGGACGGTTACAGCTG